TTTCTGTTTGTTAGTTGCTAGTTTTTGTTTGTCGGTTGGTTGTGATGTCCATTGTTTTAGCTTGGGATCTTGCCTGGTAGCACTTAATCCCGTTTTGGAGGGCTTTGTGTTGGAGGTCTTTCCTCCGTGTACCGTTAGCTATTGTGATGTGTAATGAAACGTCTTTCATTTTCCCAAAAAAAAAGAACAATTCGAACACCAAGAAAATTCCTGGCTAGACACAAGTAAGAGCGTGTTAAATGCTATCAAAATATCAAATTAAAACATATAAAATTTACAAATATAAATAAGAGTTAACAGGCATTTAAAAAAGCATGAAATTCAAATAGTAACGAGTACAAATATTTGACTTCACTTGAATGTAACTCAAAGTTACTAATTTTTATCAAATATAATCTTCAAAGTAAACTTTAAATATGGTTCTAAGCTTCATAATGAACCACAAAAAGAGTGTATTCTAGAACACCTTTGTTGGTGGCAGTATCGAAAGAGTAAGTATTGGTCACGGCCGAGCCACTTGCAAATCGGAAAACACCAGTCCCACCAACAATAGGCAGTTCACGATAATCTTGAAATAATTGATTCCTTCCCAAGACGCTAATAGTACTGCCCGCATATTCCCCCTCAGTGAATACAAAGTTCATAACCATTTGTATTGCGGTATCATTCAAATCTGCAAATCCAATAGTTCCTTGAGCTCGACCCACTTTCTTTGAATCGGGCTCGGGCCCTTCCGTCGCTAGGTCATCCACCATGCTAATTTGGCCAAAGGATGTGGCTGAATTAGCAATGGGCTCAACCACCTTCAAAACAGTCGGGTTAGGTCCACCGTTGAGGTCTTGAAGAAAAAAGTGAAGCTTAGTAAATTTTTGCCGAGCTGACCCGAAGTTTTTGTACCATTCTTCTACGGATTCGATTAGTTTGGCTTCACCATTTGATTTCGCCATCGCTCTGTGTGTGCGCGTGCGCTTGTGTTTCTGTAATTTCAATGCACTGAAGGGTAGGATTTATAGGGGCGAATTGACTTGGTAAACGTAATATGAAGTAGCAAAGAAGGTATACTTTGATTTTTTTATTAGCAAGTTGGAAGTGCTCATCATTTCTTTCTCTTTATTATATTGTAAAGCCTGCATCAATTTAATTAAATAAACTGTTGTAGGATTATATTAGCAGAAAATAATAGAAAAGGAATATATTATTAACCTGCTTTCGTGTGATTTTAAAGAATTAATATAAGTGTGCGATATTCTTTGACAACAATGATTGACAATTATGTGTTGTCAAAATTGATGAATATGATGATATCAAATATGATATTATCAACCAATGTTATCAACT